CACTTCTAATTTTGTCAGTTTGAGGGCATTTCAAGATGTTTCCCATGAAAGACACCGGCTTACAAGTTTTCGTGGATGCTTACAAAGTATCTAAAGGTACTAGTATTGTGATTATGAGCCACAGCTTACTATGAAATTCCATGAATTTGGAAACTTTCTTAAGAATTACTATACTTTTTTAAAAATTCATCTGACATAAATAGGTGTGAAACTTAGGTATTGGCTAAACACTCCTGGTTTAAGCCATTTTAGTCAGAATTAAAAAAAAAAAAAAAATTGGTCTGAGTCCCAGAAATGAGACCTAAAGGAAATGCAGTTTCCTTTCAGACATTTACAAGGAAGCTCAATCTCTACCCAAGCCAGAGAGCGTTCAGCCCTTTTGCCGCTGTGAGCTGCTTACCTGTGGGAAATCCGAAGTGCTCCCAGTTATCATAGCTCTGTTCCCACGCACCACTTCAGTTACATGGCAGCCCCTCTGGGAAGTAACATATCCATGCATATGATGAACTCACAGGGTGCTCATGATCTGCAGCTGATCTCTTTTTACAAAGACCATCCATCTCATAATAAGTGTGTCCTATTCTATTGCCAAATTGTGAGTAATAGTTTCTCCTCTGGATGTACACTCGGCAGCCCTCACCAACTAATACCCGATACTAGGTTTCTCCACTGACGCAGTAGGCCAGATCAAGCTGGATTGAAAAAGCAAAAGAACAGGTTTGTTTGAGCAAATCGACTCCCGGGTGACTCCTCCAGCCCCCAGAGATCCAGGCAGGGCAGGGGCAGGAAAGAAATCACAAGGCAGATCTAAAAGAGAGAGCTTAAATACCCTGTAGTCACGTGTGTGTGTGTGTGTGTGTGTGTGTGTGTGTGTGTGTGTGTGTGTGTGTGTGTGTGTGTAGGGGGTGACGATGTGTCCGCCACAAGCTTTTTTGTGCCCAAGTATGGTACGCTTGGGCGGGGACTTGGGGCGCTGGCAACTTCCGGGGCGGAGCTACCGCTAAGAATGCAGAACTGGTCTTTGGCGGCTTTTCTTTATTGGAGATTCTCTGAGGGCTGGGTTTGGAGAGGGAGAAAAATGGGGCTTCCCAGAGCGAGCTGGAGGTCCGAGCCAATACCCACAGCTGCTTCTGTTCGTGTTGTCCTCGAGTCCTTGGTTGGATGGTCTGAGCCTCACAACAGCCGGGTCATCAGACTTCCTGGAAGCTAGCAACCTAGTTAGGTCTTGGTGTTGCAGAAGGTGGATGACAAAGTACAGCATGCTTTTTTTTTTTTCTTTCTTTTAACCTGAGTTTCAGAGCCACCAGGAGCTTCTTCAGACAGACCTTGAGGTCCTGATATGTGGACCAAGGTGGGCCCAGCCAAACTGATAACAAGCCTGAAGGCATCCCAGCCATGTGATTCAAATCCCTGTCCCAGGAGTTTTATGTTAAGGAACTGTTTGTCTTAAATCACCAACTAAAACATGGATATCAGATAATCCACTGGGCCTATTGTGGTAGTCTGAATGATGAATGTCCCCCAGAGGCTCAGTCATTTGAACACACAGTCGTGGTGCCGTTTGTGGTAGTTTAGGAGGTCGGGCCTTGCTGGAGGAAGTCCGTCACTAGAAGCAGGCTTTGAGACTACATAGCCCATGCTACCCCCAGTTCTCTCTGCTCTCTCTCCCCTTCCTGCTCCAGCCACTGTCCCTGCTGCTTGCTGATCAGCCTTACCGCCATGATTTTCTTTTAGTCCTTTGTAAGCAGAGCTATAAACGCTCCCTAAGCTGTTCCAGGTGTGTGTTTGGGGTGGGGGGGGGTTGTCACAACAGAAAAGTAATAAATACATCTATACTTGCAATGACTTTTCTGAACCCAAATCCCAGACACAGACACGACAAGCATGCATGTCTCAGGTGGTTTCTGGTTGCAGGAGGCATCACAGGAACCCCACCCTCTGCCTAGTCCTATTGAAGACAGGCCTGGGCAGTACCCTAGTCTTCTACTCTGGGTCCAAAGAGAAGACACCGCACAGCCGTCTGCCTGGCTAAGCTCAGATAGGGCAGCTCCACCATGGCGGCGGGAAGGTTTCTTGACACTGTGTGACTATATACATCATAAGGATTAGATGCGAAAGAAAGAGCCCATCTCCTCCTCCCTCTTCCTCCTCCCTTCTCCTTCTTCTCCTCCTCCTCTTCTCCCTCCTCCTCTTTTGGCTTTGAAGTATTTCCTATAGTATTAACTGACGTCAATGAAGTCACCAAAGTATCTTCAGCTGGTTTTTGTCTGGGCAAAGGTCCTTTCAACTGCATTCTAGAAAGTCTGTGTTATCTTATCCCTTGAGGCATCCAGGGACATTCCACTTTTCTCTAGAGTAGGCTTCAGTATCTACTACCCCACCCAGGTTTCTTCCTGAAAGATGGACTGAGCAGAGGAGAGGCAGGCCAGGAGGGGGCCCTGCCTTGAGCCATGCAGTGGAATCTTCCTAGAGCACCATTCGGTAGCAATTGTCTCCTGCTACAATACTTGACTAAAAGCAATATATGTTGGCTCACCGTGTGAAGCTCTAGTCTCCCTTAGTACCCTGACTCACCCTAAAACATCCACAGAAACACATGGACAAACCCCGAGGGAATACACTCCAGCTCTCTGGAGTCCCCCACTCAGTCAAGTGGACACCCAAAATGAACCTTCATAAGACCACACTGGACTGAGCTGACGTGTCTAGGCCGTCAGGAGGGAAGTTAATGGCTCTCAGAGCCCGTGGCCGGAGACCGTTCCCCTGCAAGGGACCAACAGCAACAGGAAGGTTCTGGTTTTGTCTGCAAAGCTGAGAGCTCTTTGATGATTTCTGTTAAGTGGCTACACTATTGTAAAAAGAAACAAAACATTGGTCTTTTCTCTCTTCCTGGTCTCTCCAAAACTGAGCAATTCCGGAGCATTCTTCTCCTATCAATACAGCGGCTTGCTTGAATGCCGTGGGAATCTCTTGAAAAAGGACATAATTAGAAACACAGGTTGTATTCTCAAGGCTTTGACTGGAATGGTGGTAGGAATGAGGCCAGTGTGAGTAGACTGTCACTTTTGCAGCTCAGCTGACATTATAGACCGAATGCTTCTGCTGGTCTAAGTGGTAGGCTCTCAGCCTTGCATATAGCTCTCACTAGCTGGCAGGTTGAGGAAGCTTCAGAGTCCTTGGGCCTGGTGATAAGACAGGAATCCATCCAAGTTACTTGTGCTAAAGGCAAAGCCTGGTGCTGAACTCTTCATTTTTGTAGTCCCAGGTAGCTTTTCAAAAGACAAATCTGAGATTCCCTAGATAGACAGGGATGGGAAGTGGGGTTCCCACAAGCAAATTTAAAGCAACTTTCTGATAAATTATTTCTCTTGCTATGGTCGGCATGTTTGTGTTCTCCTGGAATTTATAAGTTGAAGTTCTAATCTTTGAGGAGATGGTGTGAGGAATGTGCATGCAGCCTTCAGTCATGGGCCAGAGCCTCATAATGGCGCTGGTGCCCTGAGATGGGAGCACCTGCTCTTTCCCACTAAGAGCACAGAGAGGAGGCAGCAGACTTTCTGTGACCGGGGAATCTGCTAGTCTCCAGAACTCTGAGGGGAAAAAAAAAAGTACCCCTGTAGGCCACTCAGCCGAAGATGTTTTGTTATAGCAGCCTACACAGCCCTAGGTACTGCACTGTGTAAATGATTAGTAGAAACCTAAGGAGGGCGGATTTATTATTTTGTGAGTGGAAGTAACTGAGGCCGTGCAAGGACAGTGGTACAAGTCCCAAAGTGCAGCGGCTTGGTTTATATTTGACCAACACGGAGACTGTACGGAAAGATTTTGTTTCCGTGGAGAACTGTGGCGCTCTGCAGCGTGAAGCCTCAGATTCCCCCGTTTCTTCCCACATCCGCTGTAGCACTCCAAATCTTCCCCTACTTTGCCCCCTCCTGACTTGGTGACTGTGTGAAAGCTGCCATTTTCCCAGAGTCGTAAGCAGAAGTGGGGCCTGGATATAAGCATACCAGGTAAGCATAGTAAGCTCCCTTCAGACTACCCAGTGTCCACCTCCGGGGCATGCAAACCCAGTCTCAGATGCCCTATGGACTCAGATAATGCTTGACAACCATTAGCTCCTTTTTTTTTTTTTTTTTAAACATTCCTGGAAATGCCCTTCATTAAATGCCTGGTCACTGGCAAGTCCCAGATAATATCCCAGACACCAATCCCAAGGAATGTTTAGCTGGTCCTTAACAAACAAAAGTGGCCTGATGGGAAATATGTTCAGAAGGGACCTTGGATCATGGATTCTACCTTGCCAAACTCCAGCCAGCATCTCTGAACTCTTTGCTTCAATAGGTCAGGCCCTGAGCTTCACCCTCCAGCCTTTTAGAGTCCCATATTAGCAAGAATCCTGCTTCAAAATTTGTATGTTGGGGTGGGGAGTGTAATTTGGGATGAAACTCAGAGATAAGAGTCTGTGTTTATTATATACAGGTGCTGGGTTCCATCTTCAGCACTGAAGCCAAGAATCCTGTCGATTCTGTTTATCCAGAAGCCTCCTTCTGGACACTTGATCTATTTCCTCATTCTTTACAACCCCCCAGGTAGTGTCTTCTCCCCTTCCCCACCTTCAGCAAGAATCCTATAAGGTCAGTTTAGCTGGAATGTCCTCCCACCCACTCCCACCCCCATGTCTCCTCTTAGTGACTTTTACACGTATGCATGCATGCACACGTGAGCACATGCAAGCTCTTTGTATCTAAATCCCTATTTGTTCTCACTGTATTGGGTTGGACGCACACTTTCCCTCTGTGAGACCCCCCTGAATACAGCCGCCTCACTGTTTTAACAAGTGCCATGAGTAATTTTTTACACCTTTAAAATGATTGTGATTTTTTTTAAAAAAAAGGAATAAATATTACCCTTGATAGTGAAGATTTGAGAAGTGATTCATATAAGACACCAGGCACAAAAGTGCTTTAAAAATAGCATCTGCTAAGGAAGGGCAAATGTAGTTACTATTCTTCTTGGTATTTTATTATAATCATATAATTTCCTGAGGAGGAAATGGGAAATAATGAAAAGGCCTTGGCCTTTGACTGGTCTGGGGACATGAAGGGAGTCTGAGTTCAAGGAGGAAGCCACTGGCCCTGGCTTGCTGGGGGAGGAGGCCTTCAAAGGATGTGGGGGACTCTTCCACGCTGCTAGCAGTCAGTGCTGTAAAGAAATAAAGCAGGGCCCATCACTGGCCGGCAACCCTCGGAGCTTGCTGGGCTAACAGCCTCGGTGACTGTACTCCTGTGGTCATCCTGGTCTATGGGAGATTCTGTAGGGAGCAGAGGAATCACGCTCAGGTTACCCTCGGAGGAAAAGGACCTCTGTGCTTCCCAATAACTGCTCATGTCTGGTTTGTGATGGCTGAATCCTCCTATCTGTGAACACTAGTTCTCTGCAGACGCTATCTCCAAATTAAAGATCCTGCAACTGCTGACCTTGAACTTTATAGAGTGTCATGACTGTGGAAAGATGGAGCGTGGCGGGTTGAGAACCAACTTTATCTTGGGTTATTGTAGTCTTTTTAATAATCATTTACCTTTTGTAGCTGACCTAACTTTTATGGGACTAGGAACGTTGCCAGATGCATCATTAAGCTTAGCAGACCTGTGGCCTCCTCCTTCAACCCTAAGCTAACAAGGTCAACACATCAGACTTTTAGAAGACTCATCCTGGGCATGGGGTACCTTAGCTCATGCTCCACCGATGTCGTTTAAAAAACCAGAATGACCTACTCAGCAGAGAAAAACAATGAAAGCATGAAATTTGCAGGCAAATGGATGGAACTAGAAAAAATCATCCTGAGTGAAGTAACCCAAACTCAGAAAGATAGTCATGGTATGTACTCACTCATAAGTGGATTCTAGATATAAAATAAAGAACAATCAAACCACAACCCATAGAACCATGGAGGCCATATATATATATATAGTATGGAGGTCCCTAGGACGACTGTGGCTTATAATAAATTTCTGTTTTACTCAATTATTGAAAAAAAAAATAGCCAAATGAATGGAAACACATGAACTATGAACCAAAGGCTGAGGGGCCCCCAGCTGAATCAGGCCCTCTGAATAGGTGAGACAGTTGATTGGCTTGATCAGTTTGGGAGGCAACTAGACAATGGGACCAGGTCCTGGGCTCGTTGCATGAGTTGGCTGTTTGAAACCTGGGACTTATGCAGGGACA